CGAGTTGAAGTTATATCCTTAGCTGCAGGCCCACAGTTGAATAGACCTTCCTACCAAATAGGTCTAACCGTTTTGACTCCTTTGACTTCGGAGTTAGCCCCTATTTTTCTTTCTCATTAACCATGGCGACCACCAGGGAACATGGCTGCAGATGAGAAAACAAATACTCATATCCCTTGGACGGGACAAAGTACTTGCATTCGACATCCCTTGCAGTGGGTCTGGCAGAGTGTTTTCACATTGCTCTGTATAGTTTTAATCAGGGGAAGAGTGACTCTGGATGGGCCTTCCGGTGTTAGGATATCGACCATAGGGTCCTCAGGTTCGATAACCTCCTCTGCCTGCAACCCCATGTTGCGGGCGAACCTGCGCAGGAGGTCCTGTTGTGCCCAATGGTCTATCGGTGGAGGTCCAGAAGCCGAGGCCCTTGCCACTGCCTCGTCAGGGGACGAGGATGATGAGGCTCGGGGTGGCACGGAGTCCTCTTGTCCCTCAAGCTCTCTGGCCTTGTCCTGTTCGATATCTGGGCCCCGTGGGCTGACCCTCATTGCGATGACAGTAGCCTGGTCTGCCATTGGTATTGTCGCCGTGGCAACCTCTGTGATGACCTGGGCCGCCTGGTCATGGGATGTAGCTGTCTCCGATCCCTTAGGGGCCGACGATCCCTAGGTGGTTGGGTGCTCTGGTTTTGGAGATGACCAAATGAGAGCCCCTGGAGAATGAACCCTGGGCCTGATGATAAGCCTAGGGGATCCATTAGAGCCATTGCAGCTGAGGCTGCCCACGCGGAGGCCAAGCTAGAGGAGCCTCGCTCCTATGTCTGTGGGAACGGCGCCCATTGTGGCAGGAGTAGAATGATTCTGCATCCAAGTCCGATGACCCCGATGTGGACCTGGATGACCACAGCGGCGCCAACTGGTATTGCGCAGGGGATCGGTGCCAATGCTCCCGCACCGGGGATCGGTGCCGCTCCACTGGTGCCAGTGATCGTTGCCTCTCTAAGGGTGCTGGCGATCAGCACGGTTCCAGCAGTGCCTGAGGTCGGTGCCGTTCCAGCGGTGCCAGAGATCTGGATTACCTGGCCAGTGCTGGGAAGGAGTCCCAAGATGGCTGCCGGTGCCTGGGCAATGGTGAGCGGGCATGGTGCTTAGCAGATTGACTCGGTAAAGAAGAAGAAGTACGTTGCACTATAG